CCTAAGGATTAAGAATAAGATTAAATTTGTGAGAGTGCAAGGATATGTCAATCAAACCCGCCGAAAAATTTGAAATTTCAACATCTTTTAAACGAAATAAGATTTTTAATTAATTTTTGTGTGAAATGCTACTAAAATATATAAGTCGTAATATTATAGAGAAAATAATAACTTCAAATCTGTGTCCAAGTACCTTTAAACTCCATAGACATTGTTTACAAAGTTTGTAAAATTTAAATACCTTCTTTGACTAGACAGTTCCAAACAGGGAAAATAATTCATGAGCGGTAAAATTAAATTGCCAAAAATTTACAAAGATAGAAAAATTGAAAAACAGTATTTCGTAAATATTCAACACGGAAATAATTGCTATTAATGTTATTATATAATTTCAAACATTAACTAACATTTAAATGAAAGAAACAATTTATTATAACTGATTATTTGTAAGCATTTCAGATATTTCAAAGTTCAGTGAAGATCAAATGAACTAAGTAATTTATCCTAATTCCGTATCAAAAATACTTTAGAGAAAAATCATAAAAAAACATTATGTTAAATTAATTAAAATAATTATAATGAAAATCAAAATTAAAGTTTAGCTTAACATTTGAATAAAAATAAAACACAAGCTTACCTAAATGGTAAAGAGAAACAATTCCGATTAAAGTTGATGTTTATTGTAGAGTCACAAGATAGAAAGTGAATTTGCTAAATTCACAATCTATCCGGACTTACTTCGGAATTGAACTCTTGACCAATCAGGATGCTTGTTACAAAAAGTAATACAGGTAAGTCGGCAGTTTCCTTTTTATAGGATTGACACTGATTACTTACATTTTCAAAGAGCCGAAAGGTGATGAAGTCAATTAGCTAAATTTCCGTTCTAGTTTTAAATTCTCTGAATTCTAAAACTTTAATGTAACATACACATCTTTAACGGATTTTGTAATTGTAAATTATTTAACAAATATATTTTGGGATTAAAACGCTATGATAGATATCTGAACATTTAAGTTTAAGACATTTAAGGTACTTTATTTCTTATTTTTTCAGCTCTACTGGTCAGAGACCAGAAGAGCTTATGGGATAGTAATATCGTCCGTCCGTCTGTCTGTCTTTAAACAATTTTTCGAAATGCTTCTCCTCTTTCAGCTTTTGTCTGATTTCAATATAACTTTGCACAAAAGTTGACTATACTAAGATACATAATTCTGTCATCGGTTTATGATTTCGATGAACGGTGTTGACGTGGTTACTAAAAATAGACATTTCTGTGAAATGCTTTCAAAATGCTACTCCTACAGTTTTGGTCTGATATCAATATAACTTGGCACACAAGTAGACTACACTAAGATACATATATCTGTGCATCACATCGGTTTTCAATTTCGATGAACAATGTTTTGAAAAAAGAAATTTCTGTGAAATACATTCAAAATGCAACCTTTCCTACAGTTTTTGTCTTATTTCAATATAACTTTGCACACAAGTAGACTATATTAAGATACATAATTCTGTGCATCGGGTTTTTGATTTTGATGAACAATGTTGCCATGGTTACTAAAAATAGAATTTTCTGTGAAATTCGTTTAAAACGCTATTCCTCCCACAGTTTTGGTCTGATTGCAGTATTATGTAGCACACAATTAGACTAAACTAAGATACATAAAATAGTGCATCGGTTTTTGATTTAGATGCACAGTGTTGCCGCTATTACTAATAATAGAATTTTCTGTGAAATTCTTTCAAAATGCTACTCCTCCTACAATTTTGGTCGGATTTCAATATAACTTGGCACACAAGTAGACTATATTAAGATACATAATTCTGTGCATCGGTTTTTGCTTTCCATGAACAGTGAACGGTGTTTCAAAATGAAGTGGTTATTTCTAAAATCAGAAATTTCTGTGAAATGAACTTTGCCGTGGTAACTATAAATGGAAATTTCTGTGAAATACTCCTCCTACAATTTTTGTCTGATTTCAATATAGCTTGCCACACAAGTAGACTAAACTCAGATACATAATTCTGTATATCAGTTTTTGATTTCGAATGTTGCTGTGGTACTAGTAACTAAAAATAGAAATTTCCGTAAAATAATTTTAAAATGCTATTACAAGTACAGTTTTAGTTTGATTATGATATAATGTGGCATGCAGATACATATAGACTACACTAAGATACATTATTGTCTTTATTGTTTTCTTTAATTTATTTTGATGATTGATGTTGCCATGGTAGCTAAAATTGAATTTTATTAAAAGCTACTCCTACAGTTGTAGTCTTATTGCAATATTGCCACAAAAAGTGACTTAATCAAGGATCATTATTGTATTTATTGCTATTTTAAATTTTCAAGTCCCAACTGCTACTCCTCTTTTCCATATATATATTAATATTTACATTTCCAGTGTCTCCTTACGAGATAAATTACAAATTGTAAATCACTAAATGTACTTCTTCCCATCAATGTATTGGCGCGGTTCCAAAAAAAAAAAAAACTTGCAGGGCGGAACAAACAGCTAGACAGAAGCAGGACTTGGAGCACGTGGATTGACGGAATCAAAGCATGTAAATATAAGGAATAACTGTCAGATTTTTTCAATTTTATGACGATGTTCAATCGATTGGCTTGCGTGATAATTTTATGCTTCGGCGTTTATGCAAATTATCACCAAGCCAATCGATTGGTACTCAAAGAAATCGAAAAATTTTGACAGTAGGCGATAATAATATAGGAACCAGTAGAATATCATTTTATTTTAGAGACTTCTGGTTATATCGTTTAATAAAAAGCGTTTCTTACTCCAAATGTTATAACACCATTTGCTTGACCCAATTTTGTATTATAAGCTAGATTATGAAAAAGATTTCTGTATAAATGTAATGGTTTGTGCAAATGTAAACTTTTAATATAACTGTTTCTATAATTGAAAATACCATAACTTTGAGATGCATAAAATGAAAATTCTTGCAAGTTAAAGATTTCATTTCAATTTTAAGCATCTAAAAGCGTTTTGAATTAAATAAAAAATAAAGAGTTATTCCTGTTTGGATGCAACTCATCAAGTTATTTATTACCAATACATTCGGCTCCCTTTTACCCTTTCAAAATGTCTTGACCATTTTGAACCGTATATTGGTATTTATCGCGATTTTTGGGTCGCTATAAATTGTGTGTGTTAAAAAGATAAAGGTTTGGAATTCTTACACTGGTATTTAGGTACATAATATAAATACCAGAAATTGACAATGACTTTATTCTCTTTCAAACTTATAAAATTATAGAAAGTCTAAAAATGTTGAACACAAATATTTATAACAATGCACATTGCGTGGGAAAAAAAATTTCAAAAGGAGAGCGAAATTCTCGATGTTTTTTGTATAAATTTAACAATTTTTATCAACTGTTTCTTATTTGTGGTTTTAAAAATTCTCAAATTTATATACATTATTCTCAGCATAATAATTAGATAAATATAATGATATTTGTTTTAATATTGTTGTCAGTACAATCTGAATAAATAATGAAACGGCAGGGCCGCTTTACAGACACACAAGTTACAGAGTCAAGGAGGAGAAGGAATACCAGTTATCTCCGGTTTTATTAGGGGGCCTGAGCATTTGTTTACAAAAAAATTCTCAGAAATTTCAATGGTAAAATATCAAAATATTTATCAAAAGATAATGTACTTTTGAATAACCTGTAATTATCAGAGCTTTTGATGAATTGTACATTTCACTATACCATGATTGTTTAAATTGATCAATAAGTGTATGATATACTTTGTTTTTCAACCATTTGACATTAACTGTATTACAATTCCATATATATGATAAACCACATTCATTTAAAAATTTTTGTACAAATTTACACCATGGTGTTTCAATTTGGTATATATATTGATATACAAGTTTTGAAGATACCTTTGAATTGTTTGATGTTATCAACTTAGCCCAAAAAGTAATCATTCTAACCTTAATATTAATCAACAATGGATATCCGAATTCACCATATACCATATTTTCTGTGTCAGATGATTTCACATTTAAGAAATGTTTACAAAATTTAAGGTGTAGTTTTTCAAATAACAAGGAGTTATTAAAACCCCATGTTTCACAACCGTTGGGAAAATTGTTTTAACAACTTTATCGAAGAGGTCAAGCTTACATTTCAAAGATAAATTGTGGTAGCACAAAACATTTTCAAAACATTTTATTGGTGTTGTAAAAAGGTTTTTTCGAAACATTTCAGACTAAACATTTTTAAAACATTTCTAAAACGTTTCCTCTTCTCTTTATAACATTTTAAAAACATTTTTAAAATGTTTTCAAGAAGCTTATGATTAAATCCTTTTGGAACATTTTTCTAAAATATTTTTGAAACGTTTTTAAAATGTTTCAAAAGGCTTTTTAGCTTTCAAATATCAAAGATTTTTATATTACGTTTTAAAAACGTTCTAAAAACATGAAATGAAACATTCCTTTTCCATAAATCTGAAACATTGCATGAATACGTTTCTGAAACATTTGGAAGGAACGTTGTCAAAATGTTTTTGAAACATTCTTAATTCATTTAAGGAACATTTTTCTTAAAATTATTCTAAGGGTATATGTATAGCTTCCAAATATTAAAGATCTTATAAAACGTTTTAAAAACGTTCTTAAAACATGAAATGAAACATTCTTTTTCTGTAAAACGGAAACATTGCCTATACGTTTCTGAAAAAATTGTAAGGAACATTTTTAAAATATTTTTAAAACATTCTTAATATCGCTGTTAGTCAAAAACATTAAATTCCGGATATTTTTCGGCCTAGGCAGTAAAAATGTTTATCTAAAATATTAACTAAAATAATTATTTTCACTACAATTGAAACATTTTAATTATAGTTTTTGTAACATTTTTGAAAACATTTTCAAAATGTTTCTGAAACATTTATGTAATTGCGGCACAATTTAAATTCATTTATTAACTTTAAGAGTATGTTGTGAGAATAATTTTAGAACATTCAATTTAATGTGTTTTCCTTTTTTAAAGACTTCATTTTTCATTGCTGCAACATTTTTTAATGTTATTTTCAAAATGTTCTTAAAACATTCAAATAATGTATGATTGCGATTTTCCTAAAATTTAGTTTATGAAGAAAAAAAAAAAGAATATATAGAAAGAATAGTGTTGAAATGAGGAATTGTAGTAATTTTTTAATTGAAAGATTTTTTCCGGTATTTTATAATGATTTCTAGTTTTGGCTTATTGATTAAACAGACATATATAAAGTCCTTTAATTAAAACAAATCAAAAAATCAATAAATGAAAGGATAGGCAAACACAAAATTTAAAATATAAGTAAATGTATAAAATCATAAGCATTTGATAAAACTCTTAATGTTTTTTTTAAAATGTTCTTCATCAAATCTGTGATCCACTCCCAGGATTTTACTCTGAGGCATTAGATAGGGATTGGCACACTGGTCAGTTTCAGTGTCATGATAACCTATTATGCAATTTTCCTGCTGGGCAGCGCGTTACAGAGTATAGTGGTTTGCAGCTTATCTAGGCCAAATTTTGAATTCTGGTAAACAAGATGTGCGCGCTTACTCCGTGCCGGTTTGAATGAGAAGACTTTGCACCATAAAACCACAATAATAAGCTCGGGATTTATTAACTTTGAATGGTAAGAATTATTCCTTTATCATAGACTTTAAAAGATCATTTAAAAATGACTTTTATACTACCAGTGCATGATCAATAACTTTGTACAAATGTATGTAGCATTAAGAAATGACAAAGCGTTAAGGTTATACACATGTATTTGATTTGAATATCTCATTCTTAAGTCAACACAATTATATACTTGATTCAAGTATTCGTTGTCTTTGTGGAATGTTTTAAAATCATCAAACAATATATTGATTTAAAAATGAAATTTCTTTACAGCATGGTGTTGATTGCATCATCCGTATTTTCAAATTCCCCCATTCAAAAGACCCGCCTTTGGTGAAGCCAAAGGTGTACGTAAATACTATTACTCTTCAAAAATATTATCATAGTAATTATTTTTCTGTTTTTTTTTAATGCAAATGAAGAAAGAACTTAAATTTGATATAATTATTTAAAATATTTTTTGTATATTTTCATTGATCATCTTAAGATACATTAGATGTAGAACGCTGATACAAACACAATTTTCCTTATCTTTACAGGTTGTGCTATTCGTTCCGAGGGGCGGATTCCTTATCAGCCTTTTCAGTGTATGTGATTCTAACTAAGTCTTATAGATCCGCCGCTCTGTTCGACCTATACTGTGAACATAGGATTTCTGTGATTCTGTTCTTTTAAAATTCAGTGAATGGATTAGACGCCGTTTTCACCCTTTAAAAACCCGGTGACTTGAAAGAAAATAAATTAAAACTTGTACCGAGAATGGAATTTAAATGTGATTAACATATTGAATATGGGTTTGTATTAAAGGTTCAAAAATTCAATATAGTTTGTGTTTATTTCATTTAAAATATAAATATATCATTATTTAATGAGAAAAGTAAAATTTCAGTAAAAATGCTTTTGTAACCTCGACGTGAATGTTTTGAAAACGTTTTAAAAAACCAAACAAATTAAGCGTGAAAAAAAAAATTCGAAAATGTTTTTGTTACATTTTATAACAATGTTATGATAACATTTGTTGAAATATTTTGTAAAATGTTTTAAAAACATTTAAAAAACCATACAAAATCACGTGATTACAACATTGTTCAAAAATGTTTTCGTAACATTTTAAGAAAATGTTCCAGAAACATTTGCTGAAATATTTCACTAAAATGTTTTAAAAACGTTTAAAAAACCATACAAATTCACGTGATTAAAACATTATTGAAAATGTTTTTGCAACATTTTAAGAAAATGTTCTGACAACATTTTGCTGAAATATTTCACTAAAATGTTTTAAAAACGTTTAAAAAACCATACAAAATCACGTGATTAAAACATTTTTTAAAATGTTTTCGCAACATTTTGAAAATGTTTTAAAAACATTTTAAAAATGTTTTTGTGTTAGCTGGGAACATAAAGCATAAAGGGTTTTCGGTTTGTAAAAATCTTTATAATTAACATGGCGGTGAAGTTGTCGATGTAGTCGTTTAAAAATTAATTTTTCGCGAAGGGAATTTATATGTTTTACGGTGAGTCCGTTGAGGCGAGCGCAGTTGTACCTTCAAAAATACACCTGGACATATATTCACGAAAAATCGTAAGTTTACGACTACGACTTGAACTTACGATAATCCTAAGATAAAAGTTGCGAGCTATTCACGAAAGTGGTCGTAAGATTGACACAGTGTCGTAAGTGAAAAACGGTCGTTGATCCGCCACTTCAAACGTAAAGTCGCACGAGACATCTATACTGTGACGTCACAGGAAAACTCGTCTGGGTTAACGGAAACAGCCGAGCGTCTAGTTGAAACTATAGACCTAGTGCAATTTTTGTCGAAAGACATTGCAGAGTTATTTTTTGTTTCTTTTAAAGATTTCTACAAACTGAATGCCTTTTATGTTTTACATTATTACTTATTTCTTTAATATTACTTTTCTATATATTTTCTAATTTTAAGGTTACAGATAAAGTATGTTCTTTAATACATTTATTTATTGTTTTCTTGTACAATTTTTTTCTGGTGATCTTTAATTAGGACAGATGATACAAACAATTTTTTTCTTTGGAGGAGACTTAATATCATGTCAAAAGTTTAGAAAAGTAGGTAATTCTTAGAATTTTTTCTCCTAAGAACTGAAAATTGAAATAGACTAGGAAAACATTAGTAATATTTCAATTAAAAAAAAAAAACAAATATAAACAAATCACACCCAGTTAAGGTTTACAGGTGAAAACTTTCAGAATATGTTACTTTTGTGCTAAAAGTGTAATATAAACTTTAGAAAAATATACCAAGCCAGGTGAATGTTATGAGGAAAAACAAAAAGACAAAACATCAGCAAAATCACATAAGCTGATTTAACGGCTAAAACTAACCTTTGCTATATCGAAACTATTTGTCATGTTAGTACAATAACCTGGTATGTTAATATAAACTACATGTATGCTAAAATATCAATTTATGTGCAGAGATTTCTAACAATTTTAATTTTAAACATTAATTTTTAAAAATTGTGCTCAATTTTGCATAAATTTTGCTTTTTCCGACTAACAGATTGCAGATTATCTAACCGATTTCTATCGGTTGTAGATTCTGAGCTGTTCAAATCAGGACCCCTACACGTAGGGCGGGGCCACAGTAGTTTATATATTAATACATTAAAATATCTACGAAACATCATTTGAAATCTTTTCTTCAAGAAGAACTCACCCAGAAAAGCTGATACTAATGTTGAATCATCTTGAAGTAGTGTTGATTCTAAATTTGTCAAATCATAAACACCGGGGATATGGCGGAGCTACAACTTGGAGTCTAAGCTTTACATTGAAATATATAGGAAATTCATTAAAAATCTTCTTCCGAAAAAAAAAGCTTAAAAGTATGTTGGAGCATCCAGTAGTATAGGTATGGCCACCACCGTAGATATTAAAAAGGGGGGATCTGATGGAGAACAGCTACTTACTCGGGTGAGCCTTGTGGCCTATGGACCTCTCATATAGGTATCCGACAAAAAGTCCGGTTTTATAAGATAATAGAGTGCTGCAAAAATTCGCTGTTTTAATATTAATCTTTCTGTTTGTCCTTTTATCATTCCATTCATCTTCAATTCTCTGTTATGAAACAAACTACATGTATTTTTATGATTATATTAATGAACGCAGATTTTATATATTACTTCTGTTGAAATCAAGTCATTATGCCCTCCTTCGAAGAGGGCTGATGAGGTTATACATCCTGAAATGAAATTTGGTATATAAGTTAAGTATAAGAATATATACATGTATGTGAAGGTCTGTTTGGAGTATGATCGATCGAGCAATTTTTGACAATGATCTGCCCTTTGGAATTAAGAAAATTCAATGGCAAAGAGGAGGGGGGGTGGCACAGGTGTTTCACAAACATCTCTTA